AACCACTGCATTCTTATTGGCAGACTAAATAGCCTTGGTTTCTCAAATGACTGCCTCGCCTGGTTCACCAACTACTTCTCAGATAGAGTTCAATGTGTCAAATCGGAGGGCCTGTTGTCTGGACCTATGGCAGTCTCTATCGGGGTGCCACAGGGTTCAATTCTTGGGCCGACTCTTTTCTCCGTGTATATCAATGATGTCGCTCTTGCTGCTGGTGACTCTCAGATCCACCTCTACGCAGAAGACACCATTTTGTATACATCTGGCCCTTCATTGGACACTGTGTTAACAAACCTCCAAACGAGCTTCAATGCCATACAACACTCCTTCAGTAGCCTCCAACTGCTCTTAAACACTAGTAAAACTAAATGCATGCTCTTCAATCGAACGCTGCTGGCACCCACCCACCCGACAAGAATCACTACTCTCGACGGGTCTGACCTAGATTATGTAGACAACTACAAATACCTAGGTGTCTGGTTAGACTTTAAACTCTCCTTCCAGACTCACATTAAGAATCTCCAATCCAAAGTTCAATCTAGAATCGGCTTCCTATTTCGCAACAAAGCCTCCTTCACTTATGCTGCCAAACATGCCCTCGTAAAACTTACTATCTTACCGATCCTTGACTTCGGCGATGTCATTTACAAAATAGCCTCCAACACTCTACTCAGCAAATTGGATGTAGTCTGTCACAGTGCCATCCGTTTTGTCTCCAAAGCCCCATACACTACCCACCACTGTGACCTGTACGCTCTTGTTGGCTGGTCCTCACTACATGTTCGTCGCCAAACCCACTGGCTCCAGGCCATCTATAAATCACTGCTAGGCAAATCCCCGCCTTATCTTAGCTCATTGGTCACCATAGAAACACCCACCCGTAGTATGCGCTCCAGCAGGTATATCTCACTGGTCATCCCCAAAGCCAACACCTCCTTTGGCTGCCATTCCTTCCAGTACTCTGCTGCCAATGACTGGAACGAATTGCAAAAATCTCTGAAGCTGGAGACTCTTATCTCCCTCACTAACTTTAAGCATCAGTTGTCAGAGCACCTTACCGATCACTGCACCTGTACACAGCCCATCTGAAATTAGCCCACCCAACTACCTCATCCCTATATTGTTATTTATTTTGCTCATTTGCACCCCAGTATCTCTATTTGCACATAATCTCTTGCACATCTATCATTCCAGTGTTAATACTAATTGTAATTATTTTGCACTATAGCCTATTTATTGCCTTACCTCCATAACTTGCTACATTTGCACACACTGTATATATATATTTTCTGTTGTATTTTTTTAATGTTTTGTTTTACCCCATATGTAACTCTATGTTGTTGTTTTTATTGCACTGCTTTGCTTTATCTTGGCCAGGTCGCAGTTGTAAATGAGAACTTATTCTCAACTGGCTTACCTGGTTAAATAAAGGTGAAATTAAATAAAACATAAAATATAAGTATGCTGAGGAGTAGTTGCAGGAAACTTAAACATTACTACCCTCCTCTCCATACACTTCATGTTGGTTTGGCTGGATGATCTGATGAAAACTGTCACATGTAAATGTGAAGAGGTGATAGATACAGTGGGGAAAAAATGTATTTAGTCAGCCACCAATTGTGCAAGTTCTCCCACTTAAAAAGATAAGAGAGGCCTGTAATTTTCATCATAGGTACACGTCAACTATGACAGACAAAATGAGATTTTTTTTTCCAGAAAATCACATTGTAGGATTTTAATGCATTTATTTGCAAATTATGGTGGACAATAAGTATTTGGTCAATAACAAAAGTTTCTCAATACTTTGTTATATACCCTTTGTTGGCAATGACACAGGTCAAACGTTTTCTGTAAGTTTTCACAAGGTTTTCACACACTGTTGCTGGTATTTTGGCCCATTCCTCCATGCAGATCTCCTCTAGAGCAGTGATGTTTTGGGGCTGTCTCTGGGCAACACAGACTTTCAACTCCCTTCAAAGATTTTCTATGGGGTTGAGATCTGGAGACTGGCTAGGCCACTCCAGGACCTTGAAATGCTTCTTACGAAGCCACTCCTTCATTGCCCGGGCGGTGTGTTTGGGATCATTGTCATGCTGAAAGACCCAGCCACGTTTCATCTTCAATGCCCTTGCTGATGGAAGGAGGTTTTCACTCAAAATCTCACGATACATGGCCCCATTCATTCTTTCCATTACACGGATCAGTCGTCCTGGTCCCTTTGCAGAAAAACAGCCCCAAAGCATGATGTTTCCACCCCCATGCTTCACAGTAGGTATGGTGTTCTTTGGATGCAACTCAGCATTCTTTGTCCTCCAAACACGACAAGTTGAGGTTTTACCAAAAAGTTCTATTTTGGTTTCATCTGACCATATGACATTCTCCCAATCCTCTTCTGGATCATCCAAATGCACTCTAGCAAACTTCAGACGGGCCTGGACATGTACTGGCTTAAGCAGGGGGACACGTCTGGCACTGCAGGATTTGAGTCCCTGGCGGTGTAGTGTGTTACTGATGGTAGGCTTTGTTACTTTGGTCCCAGCTCTCTGCAGGTCATTCACTAGGTCCCCCCGTGTGGTTCTGGGATTTATGCTCACTGTTCTTGTGATCATTTTGACCCCACGGGGTGAGATCTTGCGTGGAGCCCCAGATCGAGGGAGATTATCAGTGGTCTTGTATTTCTTCCATTTGCTAATAATTGCTCCCACAGTTGATTTCTTCAAACCAAGCTGCTTACCTATTGCAGATTTAGACTTTCCAGCCTGGTGCAGGTCTACAATTTTGTTTCTGGTGTCCTTTGACAGCTCTTTGGTCTTGGCCATAGTGGAGTTTGGAGTGTGACTGTTTGAGGTTGTGGACAGGTGTCTTTTATACTGATAACAAGTTCAAACAGGTGCCATTAATACAGGTAACGAGTGGAGGACAGAGGAGCCTCTTAAAGAAGAAGTTACAGGTCTGTGAGAGCCAGAAATCTTGCTTGTTTGTAGGTGACCAAATACTTATTTTCCACCATAATTTGCAAATAAATTCATTAAAAATCCTACAATGTGATTTTCTGGAGAAAAAAAATCTCAATTTGTCTGTCATAGTTAACGTGTACCTACAGTGGGGAAAAAAAGTATTTAGTCAGCCACCAATTGTGCAAGTTCTCCCACTTAAAAAGATGAGAGAGGCCTGTAATTTTCATCATAGGTACACGTCAACTATGACAGACAAATTGAGAAAAAAAAATCCAGAAAATCACATTGTAGGATTTTTAATGAATTTATTTGCAAATTATGGTGGAAAATAAGTATTTGGTCACCTACAAACAAGCAAGATTTCTGGCTCTCACAGACCTGTAACTTCTTCTTTAAGAGGCTCCTCTGTCCTCCACTCGTTACCTGTATTAATGGCACCTGTTTGAACTTGTTATCAGTATAAAAGACACCTGTCCACAACCTCAAACAGTCACACTCCAAACTCCACTATGGCCAAGACCAAAGAGCTGTCAAAGGACACCAGAAACAAAATTGTAGACCTGCACCAGGCTGGGAAGACTGAATCTGCAATAGGTAAGCAGCTTGGTTTGAAGAAATCAACTGTGGGAGCAATTATTAGGAAATGGAAGACATACAAGACCACTGATAATCTCCCTCGATCTGGGGCTCCACGCAAGATCTCACCCTGTGGGGTCAAAATGATCAAAAGAACGGTGAGCAAAAATCCCAGAACCACACGGGGGGACCAAGTGAATGACCTGCAGAGAGCTGGGACCAAAGTAACAAAGCCTACCATCAGTAACACACTACGCCGCCAGGGACTCAAATCCTGCAGTGCCAGACGTGTCCCCCTGTTTAAGCCAGTACATGTCCAGGCCCGTCTGAAGTTTGCTAGAGTGCATTTGGATGATCCAGAAGAGGATTGGGAGAATGTCATATGGTCAGATGAAACCAAAATATAACTTTTTGGTAAAAACTCAACTCGTCGTGTTTGGAGGACAAAGAATGCTGAGTTGCATCCAAAGAACACCATACCTACTGTGAAGCATGGGGGTGGAAACATCATGCTTTGGGGCTGTTTTTCTGCAAAGGGACCAGGACGACTGATCCGTGTAAAGGAAAGAATGAAAGGGGCCATGTATCGTGAGATTTTGAGTGAAAACCTCCTTCCATCAGCAAGGGCATTGAAGATGAAACGTGGCTGGGTCTTTCAGCATGACAATGATCCCAAACACACCGCCCGGGCAACGAAGGAGTGGCTTCGTAAGAAGCAGTTCAAGGTCCTGGAGTGGCCTAGCCAGTCTCCATATCTCAACCCCATAGAAAATCTTTGGAGGGAGTTGAAAGTCTGTGTTGCCCAGCGACAGCCCCAAAACATCACTGCTCTAGAGGAGATCTGCATGGAGGAATGGGCCAAAATACCAACAACAGTGTGTGAAAACCTTGTGAAGACTTACAGAAAACGTTTGACCTGTGTCATTGCCAACAAAGGGTATATAACAAAGTATTGAGAAACTTTTGTTATTGACCAAATACTTATTTTCCACCATAATTTGCAAATAAATTCATAAAAAATCGTACAATGTGATTTTCTGGATTTTTTTTTCTCATTTTGTCTGTCATAGTTGACGTGTACCTATGATGAAAATTACAGGCCTCTCTCATCTTTTTAAGTGGGAGAACTTGCACAATTGGTGGCTGACTAAATACTTTTTTCCCCACTGTATGGTGGCTGACTAAATACTTTTTTCCCCCACTGTAAATCCCAAAGAAGATATATTTGAAATGAGGAAAGATCTTGGTCTTTACTCTAAAATCCAATAATACAGATAAACAAAAAAATTTAGGTAAAACAATGACAGGAATACAGTAATTTACTAACCTGCCAGTGCAGACAGTAAAATAACTGTGTAGAGAACCATTATATTGTAGCTGAGGTTATATGCTGGAGTGAAGTCCAACACAGTTTTTTATAGGAGAATTTGTGTTCTTGAACCTACAGTAGTAAGCCCCACCCCTGCCCTAAAATATGCATAAGAGTTTATCAGGAGCAGTCAGGTTTTTGTACAGTGGTTCTGGGTTTCCTGTCACTGTGGGCTGCAGGGCACAGTAGTACAGAGCAGAATCTGTAACTTCAGCAGAGGAGATCTCCAGATCCACACGGGTTCTCTCCTTGTTCAGTGTAACAGACAGTTGAAGGTCTTGTTGATCACCTCTCACTTCATGTGGCTTATTGGTAGTTGTTATGAGGTAAAGGAATTGGAGACCTGATCCAGAGTACTGTCTGTACCACAACAGACTATCTGCTTTTACTGTATAGTTACAGGAGAGCTTAACTCTGCTACCCTCCATAAAGTACTCCTCAGGGCTGGTTGGAGTAATATCATCCTCTAAAGTATCACCTGTGAAGGAGAAGAAATTACACATGAAGACTAATAAATACAGTACATGACCAGAATGTCATATTTCATAATTGAAGCACAACATTATTCAAGACTAAAATAGTACCATTAGACAGTATGGACATTACTTTTTATAAAACCTTACTTACCAACAAGTGATGAAAACAGTATGATTGAAGTGAGCAACATCATGGTGTATGTGACAGAAAATGCAGCTACAGGACAGGTGTTAACTCAACTGTCTGATATGCAGTGTACTGTGATCTGCAGGATGTGATATGTGATATGTAATGTATGGCTGCTGTCTGTCTGCCCTGCAACTACCTCCACTGTCAGGAGGAGGAGCCACCTGCTCAGAGAAATAAAGGTTTGTGTAGTGTTGAGGTGAGGCCCTCTTTAGAAGATACGGAGTTATACTCAAATCAAATCAAAACACATCACATTTTATTTGCCACATGCGCCGAATACAACAGGTGTAGACATTACAGTGAAATGCTTACTTACAAGCCTATAACCAACAATGCAGTTTAAGAAAAAATAAAAATAACAAATAATTAAAGAGCGGCAGTAAAATAAAATAACAGTAGGGAGGTTATATACAGGGGGTACCGGTACAGAGTCAATGTGCGGGGGCACCGGTTAGTCGAGGTAATTGAGGTAATATGTACAGGTGGGTAGAGTTAAAGTGACTATGCATAAATAATAAACAGAGTAGCAGCAGCATAAAAGAGGAGGTTGGAGTGGGTGTGCTGGGGGGGCAATGCAAATAGTCCGGGTAGCCATGATTAGCTGTTCAGGAGTCTTATGGCTTGGGGGTAGAAGCTGTTAAGAAGCCTTTTGGACCTAGACTTGGCGCTCCAGTACCACTTGCAGTGTGGTAGCAGAGAGAACAGTCTATGACTAGGGTGGCTGGAGTCTTTGACCATTTTTAGGGCCTTCCTCTGACACCGCCTGGTATAGAGGTCCTGGATGGCAGGAAGCTTGGCCCCAGTGATGTACTGGGCCGTACGCACTACCCTCTGTAGTACCTTGCGGTCGGAGGCTGAGCAGTTGCCATACAAGGTGGTGATGCAACCAGTCAGGATGCTCTCGATGGTGCAGCTGTATAACTTTTTGAGGATCTGAGGAGCCATGCCAAATCTTTTCAGTCTCCTGAGGGGGAATTGGCTTTGTCGTGCCCTCTTCACGACTGTCTTGGTGTGTTTGGACCATGATAGATTGTTGGTGATGTGGACACCAAGGAACTTGAAGCTCTCAACCTGTTTCACTACAGCCCTGTCGATGAGAATGTGGGCGTGCTCAGTCCTCTTTTTTTTCCTGTAGTCCACAATCATCTCCTTTGTCTTGAGCACGTTGAGGGAGAGATTGTTATCCTGGCACCACACGGCCAGGTCTCTGACCTCCTCCCTATAGGCTGTCTCATCATTGTCGGTGATCAGGCCTACCACTGTTGTGTCGTCGGCAAACTTAATGATGGTGTTGGAGTCGTTTCTGGCCATGCAGTCATGGGTGAACAGGGAGTACAGGAGGGGATTGATCACGCACCCCTGAGGGGCCCCCATGTTAAGGATCAGCGTGGCAGATGGGTTGTCACCTACCCTTACCACCTGGGGGCGGCCCATCAGGAAGTCCAGGATCCAGTTACAGAGGGAGGTGTTTAGTCCCAGGGTCCTTAGCTTAGTGATGAGCTTTGAGGGCACACTGTATATCTGGTTGATTTAAATAGTATTGATTGGGGTGAAGAAGGACTGATAATGTGGACATCTTTAAGCGTTCAGGTGTTGTAATCCTGAGTTGGAACAGCCAGATAATAATTAGATCTGAAACAGTTCACAACAAGGATTGTTATCCCCTGCTTCTGTACATCTGTTCAGCCCTTCCTCTACTATAAGTCCCTCCCCTTGACATACACTACATGACCAAAAGTATGTGGACACCTCCTTGTCGAACATCTCATTCAAAAAATCATGGGCATTAATATGGAGTTGGTCCCACCTTTGCTGCTAAAACAGCCTCCACTCTTCTGGGAAGGCTTTCCACTAGATGTTATAACATTGCTGCGGGGACTTGCTTCCATTCGGTGTCACGAACGTCGTATGAAGGAGTGGACCAAAGCGCAGCGTTAGTTGCGAACATACTTGCTTTATTTAATTAAAGCATACACACGAAATAACAAAACAATAAACGACTCGTGAAGTCCTCAGTGACAATGACCGAACACGGAACAAAAACCCACAAACACAAAGTGAAACACAGACAGTTAAATATGGCTCCCAATCAGAGACAACCAGCACACCGCTGACACTCGTTGCCTCTGATTGGGAGTCACTCAGTCAAACATAGAAATAAACAACCTAGAACACCCAACATAGAAACAGAACACATAGAATGAACACACCCTGGCTCAACATAATGAGTCCCAGAGCCAGGGTGTGACAGTACCCCCCCCCTAAAGGCGCGGACTGCGACCGCGCCTAAATACGAGCAAAACAGGGGAGGGCTGGGTGGGCATTCCTCCTCGGCGGCGGCTCCGGCTCCGGGCTTGCCCACCACCCTCCAACAAATCCCCCATAGCGCCCCTGGTCCGGTCTGGCCCCGCTGGCTGGAGCTGGACTGGACGTAGCAGGAGCGGTAGGCTTCAGCTCCTTAGTGGAGCAGTAGAGCGGTACGTGAATTGGCACCGATGACCCAGGCACGGGTTGTGCCGGACTGACGACTCGCACCCCTGGCTTGGTGCGAGTGGCAGGAACGGGCCGGGCCGGGCTGGCGACGCGCACCGTAGACTTGGTGCGAGTGGCAGGAACAGGCCGGACCGGGCTGGCGACGCGCACCGTAGACTTGGTGCGTGGAGCAGGGACAGGCCGGGCCGGGCTGGCGACGCACCCCGTAGGCTTGGTGCGTGGAGCAGGGACAGGCCGGGCTGGGCTGGCGACGCACACCGTAGGCTCGGTGCGTGGAGCAGGAACAGGCCGGACTGGGCTGGCGACGCACCCCGTAGGCTTGGTGCGTGGAGCCGGAACGGGCCTCACCGGACTGACGACTCGCACCCCTGGCTTGGTGCGAGTGGCAGGAACGGGCTGGACCAGGCTGACGACTCGCACCCCTGGCTTGGTGCGAGTAGCAGGAACGGGCCTCACCGGACTGACGACTCGCACCCCTGGCTTGGTGCGAGTGGCAGGAACGGGCTGGCCCAGGCTGACGACTCGCACCCCTGGCTTGGTGCGTGGAGCAGGAACAGGCCTGGCAGGGCTGGCGACGCACACCGTAGGCTTGGTGCGTGGAGCAGGGACAGGCCGGGCTGGGCTGACGACGCACACCGTAGGCTTGGTGCGTGGAGCAGGAACAGGCCGGGCAGGGCTGGCAACGCACACCGTAGGCTTGGTGCGTGGAGCAGGAACAGGCCGGACTGGGCTGGCGACGCACACCGTAGGCTTGGTGCGTGGAGCAGGAACAGGCCGGGCTGGGCTGTCGACGCACACCGTAGGCTTGGTGCGTGGAGCAGGGACAGGCCGGGCTGGGCTGGCGACGCACACCGTAGGCTTGGTGCGTGGAGCAGGGACAGGCCGGACCGTACTGGGAACACACACCACTGGCCTTAAACGGGGATCAGGAACGGGCCGGACCGGACTGGCAATACACCTCAGTACCTCTCGCCGTGCCTCTACAACTTCCTTCCCTCCTCTCGCCAATGGCTCCCGTAACCCGGTGGCCTTCTCTCCTCGTCTCCCATTTCGCCCTGTGGCAGCCTCCTGCTGCCCAGTCGCCCATGCCGTGTGCCCCCCCCTAAAAAATTATTGGGGGTGCCTCTCGTCCGTCCGACGATGGCACTGCTGACGCCGCTGCTCCTCTCTCGCCAGGGCCTTAATCCTACCCCAAGGTCCCTTGCCCCCGAGCATGTCCTCCCAGGACCACGATTTGCCCACCTGGGCCATCGCCAGCCTCTCCATCTCCTTTCCTGGCGCTTCCTCCCATGTCCAGTCTGCCTGCTCCTGGACACGCTGCTTGGTCCTTTTATGGTGGGTTTTTCTGTCACGAACGTCGTATGAAGGAGTGGACCAAAGCGCAGCGTTAGTTGCGAACATACTTGCTTTATTTAATTAAAGCATACACACGAAATAACAAAACAATAAACGACTCGTGAAGTCCTCAGTGACAATGACCGAACACGGAACAAAAACCCACAAACACAAAGTGAAACACAGACAGTTAAATATGGCTCCCAATCAGAGACAACCAGCACACCGCTGACACTTGTTGCCTCTGATTGGGAGTCACTCAGTCAAACATAGAAATAAACAACCTAGAACACCCAACATAGAAACAGAACACATAGAATGAACACACCCTGGCTCAACATAATGAGTCCCAGAGCCAGGGTGTGACATTCGGGCACTGATGTTGGGCGATTAGGCCTGGCTCGCAGTCGGCGTTCCAATTCATCCCAAAGGTGTTCGATGGGGTTGAGGTCAGGGCTCAATGCAGGCCAGTCAAGTTCTTCCGCACCGATCTCAACAAAACATTTCTGTATGGACCTTGCTTTGTGCACGGGGGCATTGTCATGCTGAAACAGGAAAGGGCCTTACCCAAACTGTTGCCACAAAGTTGGAAGTACAGAATCGTCTAAAATGTCATTGTATGCTGTAATGTTAAGATTTCCCTTCACTGGTACTAAGGGGCCTAGCCTGAACCATGAAAAACAGCCCCAGACCATAATTACTCCTCGCCCAAACTTTACAGTTGGCACTATGCATTGGGGCAAACCCAGATCCATCCATCGGACTGCCAGATGGTGAAGCATGATTCATCACTCCAGTTTCCACTGCTCCAGGCTACAATAGCGGCGAGCTTTACACCTCTCCAGCCAACGCTTGGCATTGCGCTTGATGGTTTTAGGCTTGTGTGCAACTGCTTGGCAATGGAAACCCATTTCATGAAGCTCCCGATGAACAGTTCTTGTGCTGTTGTTGTTTCCAGAAGCAGCTTGGAACTCAGTAGAGAGTGTTGCAACCGAGGACAGGGGATTTTTATGCACTACGCGCTTCAGCACTCGGCGGTCCCGTTCTGCGAGCTTGGGTGGCCTACCACTTCGCAGCTGAGCTGTTGTTGCTCCTAGACGTTTCCACTTCACAATAACAGTACTTACAGTTGACCGGGGCAGCTCTAGCAGGACAGACATTTTACAAACTAACGTGTTGGAAAGGTGGCATCCTATGACGGTGCCACGCTGAAAGTCACTGAGCTCTTGAGTACGGGCCATTCTACTGCCAATGTTTGTCTATGGCGATTGCATGGCTGTGTAATCGATTTTATACACCTGTCAGCAACGGGTGTGGCTGAAATAGCCAAATCCACTCATTTGAAGGGGTGTCCATATACTTTTCTATATATAGTGTATGTATGTATGTATGTATGTATGTATGTATGTATGTCATACAGAAGGTCTGTTTCCTCCCATGGTTCTTGACAGGTTTCTAAGTTTCCTGTCACTGTGGGCTTCATGGCACAGTAGTACAGAGCAGAGTGTCACTACAGCAGAGGAGATCTTCAGATCCACGCTGGTCTTCTCATCATTCAGTTTAACAGACAGTCGAGGGAGGGTTGATTCATTATTTTTCTTAAACCCTCCTTCAGTGATGAGGAGCAGGAATTCTGGTGTTGATCTGTATTATTGGTACCACCGTAGAGTATCAGTACTGTAAGAGCCAGAGTAATTGCAGGACAAAGTAACACCATCACTCTCCAAAACATGCTCTTCAGTTGTGACTGATATTTTTTCCTTTGTTTTAAATAAATCATATTGCATTTAATGTACCGTACATGCTATATCGACATATGTTTTATGCAATCCAAAACTACAATGCAAAACCTATGCACTTACCAATGAACATTGAAAAAAGCAGAATTGCATAAAACATCTTTATGGGCACTGAATGACTGGATTTATGCGCTGTCAAGTAAGAAAGTATCACTATCCTCTCCTCAAACATCTTGTAGACTACATACTGTGATGTCAAAGCACTCATTGACTTTGTAGCTCCACCTCTCTAGACTAAATTGGTTGGGTATTTGAGTTCAACTATCTTTCTGGGTTGGATTGCTGCTAAATGTAATCTTCATGATTTTGCTGTAGTTCTGATTAGAGATATTTCAGCTCATGACTGCCCTCTATTGGTATTGGCTGAAAATGTATGCTTTTCACAAATAACAATGGAGAAGAATAAGACAATTTCAGTCCTTAATCCTCTAATGAGTTGTTTCCCAAACTGTGGGACGAGCCCTCTAGTGGGGGCGCAAGGGATCGGCAGGGGGGGTGCGGGAGTCCCCCCCCCCGAAATGTTTTATTTTTGATATTTTTTAAGGAACTCAATCCCACTTTAAACTTACTCTTGAAAGTTGTAATAGTAGAATGCACAAGGTGCAATTTCGAAATTGGTAGTGCATCATCAGTTCCTCTTGTCATGTTAGTTATGGCATACCTTAGAGAGCTATTTATTACTTTTCAGCAATGTCTAGATCAACTAGCCCATGTCAGCAAAAACATTTTTTTTTAGTTTATTTAGTCCCTAGATATTGTAATTTAATTGTCACAAAAATATCACATGAATACACAATAGAAAATTAGCTTTAAAAATGCCAAATGTTATTTTCACATCATGACAAAATGTGCAGAATTGCAGGAAATAAGTTGTACACTTTGTGTCATGAACAGTGCTTGTGCCCATAGAAATAGACAAGGCACGTGCACGCGGGCGCAGGGGGGACTGGGGACAGCCAGGAGTCATCAGGCCAGGTAGTCCTGATCCTAGGGCTCAGGTCCTCCGGGAGTGGAGGGAGAGATGGAGAGAGAGAGAATTAGAGGGAGCCTACTTAAATTCACACAAGACACCAGATAAGAAAGGAGAATTACACTGGATATAACAAACTGCCCCTAGCCCCCCAGCACATAGACTATTGCTGCATAGATACTGGAGACTGAGATCTTCAAGTCCACACGGGTCTTCTCTTCATTCGGTCTACTGTCGTTCGTCATTCTGTCACGGAGTCGTAATGGATGTATTCTGTACATACTTGTTGGTTGGTAGGATCAGAAGAAGACATTCTGGTCTAGATTGGGGGTATTGACGGTACCATTGGAGAAAGTTAACGTTGCCCTTGTAGTTGCAGGAGAGAGTGATGTCTGTTCCTTGGAGAGCATTGACTACAGGCTTCACTGGAGTTATTTTTACCTGCTCCATACTATCATCTACAACAACATAAATGTTGGGATTGTATTAGTGTTTATTCCTAATGAGAAAAAAGGCATGGATTCGTTGCCCATAAAGTATGACAAGAGAAAGAATTGAAACGTTCCAGTAAAATGCAACTTAGTGTTTAATGCAGTCAAATCAAATCAAATCAAATCAAATTATATTGGCCACATGCGCCGAATACAACAGGTGCAGACATTACAGTGAAATGCTTACTTACTGCCCTTAACCAACAGTGCATTTATTTTTAATCAAAAAGTAAAATTAAACAACAACAAAAAAGAGCAGAAGTAAAATACAATAACAGTAGGGAGGCTATATATACAGGGGGGTACCGGTGCAGAGTCAATGTGCGGGGGCACCGGCTGGTTGAGGTTGTTGAAGTAATATGTACATGTGGGTAGAGTTAAAGTGACTATGCATAAATAATTAACAGAGTAGCAGCAGTGTAAAAATATGGGGTGGGGGGTGGGGGTGGGGGGCAATGCAAATAGTCCGGGTAGCCATGAATAGCTGTTCAGGAGTCTTATGGCTTGGGGGTAGAAGCTGTTGAGAAGTCTTTTGGACCTAGACTTGGCACTCCGGTACCGCTTGCCGTGCGGTAGCAGAGAGAACAGTCTATGACTAGGGTGGCTGGAGTCTTTGACAATTTTGAGGGCCTTCCTCTGACACCGCCTGGTATAGAGGTCCTGAATGGCAGGAAGCTTGGCCCCAGTGATGTACTGGGCCGTACGCACTACCCTCTGTAGTGCCTTGCGGTCGGAGGCCAAGCAGTTGCCATACCAGGTGGTGATGCAACCAGTCAGGATGCTATCGATGGTGCAGCTGTATAATTTTTTGAGGATCTGAGGACCCATGCCAAATCTTTTCAGTCTCCTGAGGGGGAATAGGCTTTGTCGTGCCCTCTTCACGACTGTCTTGGTGTGTTTGGATCATGATAGTTCGTTGGTGATATGGACACCAAGGAACTTGAAGCTCTCAACCTGTTCCACTACAGCCCCGTCGATGAGAATGGGGGCGTGCTCAGTCCTCTTCTTTTTCCTGTAGTCCACAATCATCTCCTTTGTCTTGGTCACGTTGAGGGAGAGGTTGTTATCCTGGCACTACACGGCCAGGTCTCTGACCTTCTCCCTATAGGCTGTCTCATTGTATTCGGTGATCAGGCCTACCACTGTTGTGTCGTCGGCAAACTTAATGATGGTGTTGGAGTCATGCCTGGCCATGCAGTCATGGGTGAACAGGGAGTACAGGAGGGGACTGAGCACGCACCCCTGAGGGGCCCCCATGTTGAGGATCAGTGTGGCAGATGTGTTGTTACCTGCCCTTACCACCTGGGGGCGGCCCGTCAGGAAGTCCAGGATCCAGTTGCAGAGGGAGGTGTTTAGTCCCAGGATCCTTAGCTTAGTGATGAGCTTTGAGTGCACTATGGTGTTGAATGCTGAGCTGTAGTCAATGAATAGCATTCTCACGTAGGTGTTCCTCTTGTCCAGGTTGGAAAGGGCAGTGTGGAGTGCAATAGAGATTGCATCATTTGTGGATCTGTTGAGGCTGTATGCAAATTGGAGTGGGTCTAAGGTTTCTGGGATAATGGTGTTGATGTGAGCCATGACCAGCCTTTCAAAGCACTTCATGGCTACAGACGTCAGTGCTACGGGTCGGTAGTCATTTAGGCAGGTTATCTTAGTGTCCTTGGGCACGGGGACTATGGTTGTCTGCTTGAAACATGTTGGTATTACAGACTCAGTCAGGGACATGTTGAAAATGTCAGTGAAGACACTTGCCAGTTGGTCAGCACATGCTCTGAGTACACGTCCTGGTAATCCGTCTGGCCCTGAGGACTTGTGAATGTTGACCTGCTTAAAAGTCTTACTCACATCGGCTACGGAGAGCGTGATCACATAGTCATCCGGAACAGCTGGTGCTCTCATGCATGCTTCAGTGTTGCTTGCCTCGAAGCGAGCATAGAAGTGGTTTAGCTCGTCTGGAAGTCTTGTGTCACTGGGCAGCTCGCGGCTGTGCTTCCCTTTGTAGTCTGTGATAGTTTTCAAGCCCTGCCACATCCGACGAGAATCAGAGCCGGTGTAGTACGATTCAATCTTAGTCCTGTATTGACTCTTTGCCTGTTTGATGGTTGGTCGGAGGGCATAGCGGGATTTCTTATAAGCGTCCGGGTTAGAGTCCCACTCCTTGAAAGCGGTAGCTCTACCCTTTAGCTCAGTGCGGATGTTTCCTGTAATCCATGGCTTCTGGTTGGTTTATGTACGTACGGTCACTATGGGGACGATGCACTTATTTATGAAGCCAGTGACTGATGTGGTGTACTCCTCAATGCTATCTGAAGAATCCCGGAACATGTTCCAGTCTGTGCTAGCAAAACAGTCCTGTAGCTTAGCATCTGCGTCATCTGACCACTTTTTTATTAACCGAGTCACTGGTGCTTCCTGCTTTAGTTTTTGCTTGTAAGCAGGAATCAGGAGGATAGAGTTATGGTCAGATTTGCCAAATGGAGGGCAAGGGAGAGCTTTGTATGCGTCTCTGTGTGTGGAGTAAAGGTGGTCTAGAGTTTTTTTTCCTCCGGTTGCACATTTAACATGCTGGTAGAAATTAGGTAGAAAGGATTTAAGTTTCCCTGCATTAAAGTCCCCGGCCACTAGGAGCGCTGCCTCTGGATGAGCGTTTTCCTGTTGACTTATGGCCTTATACAGCTCATTCAGTGCAATCTTAATGTCAGCATTGGTTTGTGGTGGTAAATAGACAGCTATGAAAAATATAGATGAAAACTCTCTTGGTAAATAGTGTGGTCTACAGCTTATCATAAGATACTCTACCTCAGGCGAGTAAAACCTAGAGACTTTCTTAGTATTTGATTTTGTGCACCAGCTGTTGTTTACAAATATACACAGACTGCCACCCCTTGTCTTACCGGAGTCAGCCGTTCTATCCTGCCGATGTAGCGTATAGCCCGCTAGCTGTATGTTGTCCATGTCGTCGTTCAGCCACGACTCGGTGAAACATAAGATATTACAGTTTTTAATGTCCCGTTGGTAGGATAATCGTAATCTTAGGTCATCCAATTTATTCTCAAATGATTGAAGATTGGCTAATAGGATTGATGGGAGAGGCAGTTTATTCGCTCGCCGTCGGATCCTTACAAGGCACCCCGACCTATGTCCACGATATCTCCATCTCTTCCTCATGCAAATGACGGGGATTTGGGCCTTGTCGGGTGTCTGTAGAATATCCTTCGCGGCCGCCTCGTTGAAGAAAAAATCTTCGTCCAATACGAGGTGAGTAATCGCTGTCCTGATATCCAGAAGCTCTTTCTGGTTATAAGAGACGATGGCAGAAACATTATGTACAAAATAAATTACAAATAACGCAGAAAAACACACATAATAGTACAATTGGTTAGAGGGCTGTAAAACGGCAGCCATCTTCTCTGGCGCCATCAAGTCATTCATTGAAATAAGCAATATCACTGTATCAAGATGTTATTTGGTTTCAGCTGAGAATTGATCAATCACCTACAAACACAGAGAGGAGCAACAGTAATATGAGTGACATCCTGACACAGACTAGATAAACCAACTGAGAGATAAGACAGTGAGAGAGCTCAGTAGATCCTCTACAGAGACATCCTCATGGTTGCAGGTATGCCAAGCCTATACCAGTGTTTGACTATGAGGCCCCTCCTCTGATAAATGGATATGTAACTCTTCTTCTGTGATTTGTGGTTAAGGGTTTTCAGTTCCTATTGGCCTCCTCCAAATTTATATTAGACTTAATTTCTATCTGAGATTCTTTTTTTATTTTTATTATTTTTTTATAGAGATATCTACAATACTATACCATGCTCTAATATATGTACCATCTGCAAATAAACCTTTTAAGAATACATTATGAAAGCGGCAACATAGGTGATAGATACAGTATCAAAAAGACTCTGACACATCACAGGCAGAGTTGAAAATCTCTCTCTGTAGCAATCGTTGTCTTGCTGATTGGCATAAATGTTGCAGCGCCACCTACTGCCAAAGACAGGAGGTGGTGAGGAAACAAATGTGTTTTTGTGTGTGCCATGCAATCCTTGTTCAATGTACACTGAACAAAAAAATTAACGCAACATGTAAAGTGCTGCTCCCATGTTTCATGAGCTGAAATAAAAGATTACAGAAATGTTTCCATACTCACAAAAAGCTTATTTCTCTCAAATTGTTTGCACACATCTGTTTACATCCATGTAAGTGAGCATTTCTCCTTTGCCAAGATAATCCATCCACCTGACAGGTGTGGCATATCAAGAAGCTGATTAAACAGCGTGATTATTACACAGGTGCACCTTGTGCTGGGACAATAAAAGGCCACTCTAAAATGTGCAGTTTTGTCACACAACACAATGCCACAGATGTCTCAAGTTTTGAGGGAGCTTGCAATTTGTATGCTGACTGCAGGAATGTCCACCAGAGTTGTTGCCAGATAATTTAATGATAATTTCTCTGCAATGTCGTTTTAGAGAATTTGGCAGTATGTCCAAATGGCCTCACAACCGCCAGACCACGTTTATGGCGTTGTGTAGGGGCGAGTGGTTTGCTGAACAGAGTGCTCCATGGTGGCGGTGGGGTTATGGTATGGGCAGGCATAAGCTACGGACAACGAACACAATTGCATTTTATTGATGGCAAAATGAATGCACAGAGATACCATGTCAAGATCCTGAGGCCCATTGTTGTGCCATTTATCCCCCGCCCTCACCTCATGTTTCAGCATGATAATGCATGACCCATATCGCAAGGACCTGTACACAATTCTTGGAAGCTGAACATTTCCCAGCTCTTCTATGGCCTGCATACTCATCAGACAAGGCACCCACTGAACATGTTTGGGATGCTCTGGATCTACGTGTACGACAGCATATTTCCAGTTCCCGCCAATATCCAGCAACTTCGCACAGCCATTGAAGTGGAGTGGGACAACATTCCACAGGCCACTATCAACAGCCTGATCAACTTTATGTGAAGGGGATGTCGTGCTGCATGAGACAAATGGTGGTCACACCAGATACTGACTAATTTTCTGATCCACACACCTACCTTTTTAAAAAGATATCGGTGACCAACAGATGCATATCTGTATTCCAAGTCAAGTGAAATCCATAGATTAGGGCCTAATCAATTAATTTCAATTGACTGATTTCCTTATGTGAACTGTAACTAGGTAGAATCTTTGAAATTTCAGCATGTTGCATTTATATTTTTGTTGATCATACATAGTAGGATTGATGCATTAATGCATTTTTAACAATACCACTCCATTCATGATTTATTATTTTTTAAATGTTTTATTAATAATAGTTCTGGACATGAATGCTAGGGTTTATCCGGGTGGTGAATATGAAGCTAGGGTTAGGGTTCGGGTTCGGGTTATGGCTAGTGTAGCAGTATAGTGTTTAGGACATATTAATTTACGTGCCTGTTGATACAAATGTTTCCCTCAATCAGATATTATAGGTTTTGTACAGTGTCTATGGGATTCCTGTCACTGTGGTCCTCAGAGCAGAATAGTACAGAGGAGATCTCCAGATCCACACGTTTGTCCTTTTTGTCATGATTTAGAGTGAACCCTGATGTAATATCCACATACTCCATAACCAGTAACTGTGGTGCTGATTTGGGATATTGTGATAGCAGTTTACTAATGATATATGCACTAGAGACTGCACTTGATGGCGCTGTGGTCAAACTAAATAGCAGGTGTTTGTAAAACCACAAACTGTCAGTTCCTATTGACCTCCTCATTAGCTAATATTTTATTGAATTTCTATCTGGAAATGGATAGGGAATGCTTTTTTTTTTTTTTTTTCAATGTATCCACAATGCAATAGCGTATGTATCATCTGCAAATAAACCTTAAAAATAAGTATTTTGTAATATTGTATGTTGATAAAGATAAAGTTAATTCTAAACAAAAATCCTACATCCCACATTTGTGTCAGTGTTTCCTGTCACTTTGGGCTCCATGGCACAGTAGTACAGAGCAGAGTCTATAGAGGTGATCTCCAGATCCACATGGTCTGTATGAACCTGAGCTGACAGGCGAGGAGGGTTTCTGGGATAATCCTGATTTCGTGATGAGAATCAGGAACTCTGGTTAAGACCTGGGATACTGACTATACCACTGTAGAGACAGTGTAGCTTCAGGAGCCAATGTAGCTGCAGGATAGTGTGATGGTATCACCCTCCACACCACCTACCATAGGACTAGTGGGATTAATGTCACCTTCAAAACTGCTACTTGTCAGAAAAGGAAAAACATGTTGCTGTTTTTGATTTTTTTGTCTGTTGATAATGCCTTTCCCCTTCTCATTACCATAATACACTTTAGTGACACTGAAATTTGAAGTATAATTGTATTTTTGACAACTTTGTAATACATTCTGGTGTTTAAATTAAACTGTCAAATTGAATACAGCACTCACCAACAAGGACTGAGAGGAGGAGAAATGATGAAAGCAGCAACATAGCTGATAGATACAGTATCAAAAAGACTCAATATCTCTCTCTGCAGCAATCGTTCAGTCTTGCTGATTATAGAAAATGTTGTAGCTCCACCTACTGCCAAAGACAGCGGGTGGTGAACAACCTTGTTTATGTGTGTGCCATGCAATCCTTGTTTAATGTACATCCTAGGATTGAAGCATTCCATTCATGTTATACTGCATTATGAAGAAAAAAGTTTGAAGTTAATAATTGATCTAGACATGAATTTAGGGTTAGGGTTAATCTGGGGTGTGAACATGAATCTAAGGTTAGGGTTCGGGTTATTGCTATGGTTAGGGTTAGGGTTAGGGTTAATAATAATAATAATATGCCATTTAGCAGACGCTTTTATCCAAAGCGACTTACAGTCGTGCGTGCATACATTTTTGTGTATGGGTGGTCCCGGGGATCGAACCCACTACCTTGGCGTTACAAGCGCCGTGCTCTACCAGCTGAGCTACAGAGGACCAGGTTAGGGTTGATCCGGGGTGTGGACATGAAGCTAGTTTTAGGGTTAGGTTTAGGGTTATGGCTAATGTTAGGGTTGATCTGGGGTGTGGACATGAAGCTCGGGTTAATATTAGGGCTAGGGTTCTGGCTAGGACAGAAGGGTTTAGGGCTCTATTCAATTAGATTCACTTTAGCCAACATCTGCATAGCGGTTGTTTTGGCGGTGTCAGAGGTGCAACTGCGTTAGAGCCGTCAAACAATACATGCAGAGTTGAATATCTCTCTCTGTATCAATCTTTCAGTCTTGCCGATTGGAGAAAATGTTGTAGCTCAACCTACTGCCAAAGACAGGGTTAGGGTTAGAATTGTAATTCATAACCTATCATACAAAATGGATGATGGACATCCACAAATTAATACATACCATACGAAACCTAACATATCATGCTAAATGGAGTGTCTTGGATTTACGAAATGCTCTCAGACCAGGTTAGGCTTTGTGACAATGATCAAGAGCAGCTGTTCACCGATTTGACATCTCCAACGCAGTTACACCTCCAACACCGCAAGTGCTTGATCTGATTGAATCCAAGCCTTAGTGTTTTGGACAAATTCATTAATGTGCCTGTTGATAACTTTCTCCCCTCAATCAGATGTTCTAGGTTTTTGTACAGTGTTTCTTGGTTTCCTGTCACTGTGGGCCTCAGAGCACAGTAGTACAGAGCAGAGTCTGTCATCTCAGCAGAGAAAATCTCCAGATCCATACGTTTGGCATTTTTGTCATGATTCAGAGTGAATCCTGGTGTAATATCCGCATACTCCGTAACCAGTAACTTTGGTGCTGATTTTGGATATTGTCGATACCATTGAAGATAGTCACCAGAGGTGTAGTTACAAGAGAGAACGACTGTCCCTTTCTGAAGCCACTTCTACATCAGTGTAGGGTGTTAATACCTGTTCAGAACTGAGACCTGTAAAAAAATTATATATATATATTATATATAATACTTTATACCCACACATACGATGGAATTAATTTCAAATGCTGTTTAAAGAGAAAACATTTAAAAGTAAAAAAACATGTATCCTCATGTTGTGCATTATCTTCGTAATCTTTGATTTGAAAAATGAATACACCTTAACATAATAACACTCAGTTTCAATACAAATGTCATTACTTACCTATCAAGTCAAAGAACAGTAATAGTGAACAGAACAACATGATAGATGGCAGGATGTGTAGAATAAGCACCAGCTGCTGATGAAAAGCACAGCATCAACTGGCTATGATCTTCATGGTAGCATCATGTCTTATTATGAGGATTCATGATCTAATCCTGAGTATTATACTCTAGCTCCTCCTACTGACAATGTAGAATCAAATATGTTTCATACACATTTGATTTATTCACCAGAGAATCCACTTGATGGCACTGTGGTCTAACAGAAGACAGCAGGTGCTTGTAAATCCATAAATTCAGCTCACTGCTGAGTCAATAAGTTATGCGTCACTGTGGACGTCACAGCACAGCAGTACAGTGCAGTGTGTCTTATGGTTTTTGTACAGTGTTTCTCAGTTTCCTGTCATTATAGGATCTACAGCACAGTAGTACAGAGCAGTCTCTCACTTCAGCAGAAGAGATCTCCCGATCCACACAGGTCTTCTCTTTGTTCAGTTTAACAGTGAGGTGAGGGTATGGAGGTTTAGCTCTCACTACAGTCCAATCTACCTGCAATTTACCCATTTCAGCTTTTTCACCAACTATATTTGCCTTGAATGCAATGTATTGACTTATGCGTAAAATAAATTGAAGTGTATCTTTTTGAGAGTGAGAGCGAGACTCATTGAATGGAATGTAATCACTGAGGAATCATGTCTCTGACTCTTATTTTTAAGGCTTCAATATTGTGACACTAATCTTCCCCCCATTGAATGCAATTTAATCACAAAAGCTTCATGTTGTTTGAGGCATATCTTTTTGCAAAAATGTACCCGATTGACACTTCTCTGCTGATACCAGGCTGGAGAAACAGAAGCGTATGCTAAGTACCTCATACCTATGGTAAAATATGGTGGTGGATCTTTGATGTTATGGGGCTATTTCGCTTCGACTGTTCGGCATCAGGTCAATGGCATCATCAACTTTAGCAAGTACCAGGACATTTTAGCCAAAAAACCTGTTTGCCTCAGCCAGGGGGCTGACACTTGGCCACAAGTGGATCTTTCAGCAAGACAATAACCGCAAGCACTAATCAATATCCCCTAAGAAATGGGTAATTGGCCACAAAATCAATATTTTGTAATAGCCATCTCAGTCTCCTGTGGTTTGAATTGAAGAGGGCAGTCTATATTAGCAGACAAAGGATATCAAGGATCTGGAAAGATTCTATATGGAGGAATGGTCTAAGATCCCTCCCAATGTGTTCCCCAATCTCATAAAACATTTTAGAAAAAGGTTGTGTCGTTATTTTTTTAAAAGTAAATTTTAGTCATTTTGCAGACGTTCTTATCCAGAGTGACTTACAGGAGCAATTAAGGATAAATACCTTGCTCATGGGCACATCGACAGATTTTTCACTTAGTCGTCTCAGGCTAACTTTTCGGTTACTGGCCCAACGCTCTTAACCACTAGGCTACTTACCACCCCACTGGCAAGGGAAGTATTGAAAACCGGGGGGCCAATAATTTTGACCCCTATCTTTTAAAAATGTGTTTTATTCCTTGTTAAACAACATATCTTTCTCTGAGCAAAATCATTAGTATAACATTTAATAATTAACACATTTCTTTGAGCATACAATATACACTGAGTATACTAAATATTAGCAACACCTTCCTAATATTGAGTTGCACAGCCTCCCTTTTGCCCTCAGAACAGTATCAATTTGTCGGGGCATGGACTCTACAAGGTGTCGAAAGCGTTCCACAGGGATGCTGGCCCGTGTTGACTCCAATGCTTCCCACAGTGGTGTCAAGTTGGCTGGATGTCCTTTGGGTGGTGGACCATTCTTGATACACACGGGAAACTGTTCAGCGTGAAAAACCCATCAGCATTGCAGTTGTTGACACGTCTCAGTTGTCTCAAGGTTGATAAATCCTTCTTCAACCTGTCTCCTTCCCTTCATATACACTGATTGATTGATGTGGATGTAAGAAGTGACATCAATAAGGGATCATAACTTTCACCTGGATTCAACTGGTCAGTCTATGACACTGAAAGAGCAGGTGTTCTTAATGTTTTGTAAGCTCAGTGTAGCTCAGTATTTGTCTTATTTGTTTTATATAGTATTTTTTGTTCATCTTTATCAAGGGTGCCAATAATTATGGACTTGACCAGACCAAAACAGTGTAAAAACCTTTTGTGTTTGTCTGGTCCATTACCATTCACTTAACCTCATCCTCAGGCTATTGCGCACTGGGATTGAGATACCCGTCAGTTTATTTTAAGGCATGCGCCTCTAAAGTGTGCAGTATATGGATTTACCAGCAGAGGACCAAACCACTGAGAAGTCAGGTCCATGATTATTGGCACCCTTGATAAAGATCTGCAACATGACTGTACATGTTGAGAGTAATGATGGCACATAATGTATATGATGTGGTTAAAAGACCTGACTGTAACAGAATAGGAATACTCAACAAATTGACAGAATCTGTGAAAGCTCAAATCAAATTAAGGACAGGTGAAACATACACAGGTGAACAATATTCGCAGCATTTATTACTGTTTTGATGCCTAAAAAGTAAGGGTTAGACATGAATCATAGAAAAACCATAGGAAATCCCTGCTGATGTGGTCCCTGCTGAGGTTTTTGTACAGTGTGTGTAGGTTTCCTGTCACTGTGGGCCTCACAGCACAGTAGTACAGAGCAGAGTCTGTCACTTCAGCAGAGGAGATCTCCAGATCCAAACGGTTTTTCTCTTCATTCAGTTTTGCAGATATTCGAGTGTTCAAAGGATCTGCTTTCTTTATAAACCCTGAACCTGAGATGTACAGGAGGAACTCTGGCCTTTGTGCTGTGTCTTGGTGATACCAATAGAATTGATCTCCACCAGTAGCTGTTCTGGAGTAGTTGTAAGACAGGGTAACAGCTGTTCCCTCTAAACAATACTCTTCTTTCTTGAGTGGAGTGAGGTCCTCACAACTGACTCCTGTATAGAGAATGGTTTTAATACACATACATTTAATTGTTCATGAAAATGTACTTGAAATTGAATTGAATTCAAATGGCAATGTATTGTATTGAATTGTATGGTGTCACATACCCATAAATGTGGTCAGGAACAACACTGAATACAGCAACTGCATCTTAGATGAACAGAGACAAACTGACAGAAAGATCTAAGCAGTCACTGAAAGTTTCCTCCTGTTTTTATTTTTTTATACTGCTGTTCAGCTCATCCTCTTCCATAAGTCCCTCCCCTTAAAATACAGTAGGTATGTTACTTATGTATGTCATACAGGATGTTTGTTTCCTCCCATGGTTCTTGAAAGGTTTTTGTACAGTGTGTCAGAGTTTCCTGTAACTGTGGTCTTCATGGCACGGTAGAACAAAGCAGAGTCTGTCACATCATCAGAAGAGATCTTCAGGTCAACATGTTTGTCCACTTTGTCAATGGAAACTGTCAGACGAGGATGTGGGGGAGTAGCTTTAAATATAGAACCCTCTGGTGTGATGTACAAGATTAATTCTGGTTTGGATCTGGGATACTGGTCGTACCACTGTAGATTGTAAACAGTGCCATCATGTTTGCAGGAGAGATGGACATTCCTTCCCTCCTGAACAAGCTCTTTAGTAGTCACAGGGTTTAATGATTGCCCAAAACTGTTTCCTGTAAAGATATTTGGTTAAAAATCTTCTGTAACTGTAAAACTGTGCAGTTGTAACTGACATTTAAAAAATATTAGTGTGCAATTACTGTATTTTTGTGCTGTTCATTCACTGTAAGATTACATTAAAATATTTAAATCATATAATAACTCACCTAAAAAAGCTGAAAAGAGAACAAATTAGAAGAGCAACATCTTGTTAGACCTTTGAGAAACAGACAGACAGACAGACAGACAGACAGACAGACAGACAGACAGACAGACAGACAGACAGACAGACAGACAGACAGACAGACAGACAGACAGACAGACAGACAGACAGACAGACAGACACAGCACTGAGAGACCTGACTGACTAGCTACTGAACAATAACATCCCATAAGCTACATGTGGATCTTTGATTATCCATCCCCTCCTCTTGACACCAATGTGAAATGTTTTCTGTTATGGCTTTCTTTCTACGGTATATGTTAGGTTTTTGTACAGTGTTTCTGGGTTTCCTGTCACTGTGGGCTTCAGAGCACAGTAGTAAAGAGCAGAGTCTGTCACTTCAGCAGAGGATATCAACAGATCCACATGGGTTTTCTCATCATTCAGTTTAACAGACAGTCGAGGGTGGGTCGATTCATTATGTGTTTTTAACCCTCCTTCAGTGAGGAGAAGCAGGAATTCTGGTTTTGATCTGGGGTATTGTTGATACCACAGTAAAGTATCACTACCGTAAGAGCCAGTGTAGTTGCAGGACAGAGTAACACCATCACCCTCTAAAACATGCTCTTCATTTGTGGCTGATATTATTTCCTCCTCATAACTGCTACCTGAAATAAATAATGTTAAACATGTTTTAAATACATCATATTGCAATTCATGTGACATAAATGCTTTATCGACATATGTCTGCAATCCAAAATTGCAGTGCAAAACCTATGAACTTACCAATGAACATTGAAAGAAGTAGAATTGCATACAACATATTTATGGTGACTGAATGACTGGCTTCATGCGCTGTCAAGTAAGAGTGTATCAGTATCCTCTCCTCAAACATCTTGTAGACTACATACTGTAATGTCAAAGCACTCATTGACTTTGTAGCTCCACCTCTCTACACTAAAGTTGGTTGGGTATTTAAGTTCAACTATCTTTCTGGGTTGGATTGCTGCTAAATGTAATCTTCATGATTTTGCTGTAGTTCTGAATAGAGATATATCAGCAAATGACTGCCCTCTATTGGTATTGTCTCAAAATGTATGCTGTTGACAAAAAACAATGGATAAGAATAAGACAATTACTGCCCTTAATCCTCTAAGAAAGCAAAACAACTCAACAAATGTTATTCATTCTGTATTTATTCAGACTAGTATCAGTGATCATGTTATATCACAACAGGAACATGAATACAATATCAAGTATTATTTCCTGAAGAAGGGAATATATTTCAATAAAATAACAGTTATATTTTATTTTTCAGTTGATGTGGAGATGCAGGGAAAATATTTGTAATAATGTACTCTAAATAATAACTGATCTATCAGAATGCAATGTCTCCACCAAGGCACTGTTTATCCCCAAGGCTCTTGACAGGTTTTTGTGCGGTGTGTCTGGGTTTCCTGTCACTGTGGGCTGCAAGGCGCAGTAGTACAGAGCAGAGTCTTCCAATATAGCAGAGGAGATCTTCAAGTCAACACGGGTCTTCTCTTCATTCAGTCTACCAGTGTGTCGTGGAGTGGTAATGGATGTATTCTTTACATACATGCTGCTTTGTAGGATCAAAAGAAGACATTCTGGTCTAGATCTGGGGTATTGACGGTACCATTGGAGATAGTTAACATTTCCCTTGTAGTTGCAGGAGAGAGTGATGTCTGTTCCTTGGAGAACATTGACTTCATACTTCACTGGAGTTATTGTTTCCTGCTCCATACTATCACCTGCAACAACATAAGTATTGTGATTCAAAACGTACAGACATGATAACGTACATACATGATAACAGTAACAATCACAATTTTAGAGTATTACTACCATTTAGTTTTTATGGAATCATTAATTGAACACAGGCAAATAACATTTTATTTGGTTTCAGCTGAGAATTCAGCACTCACCTACAAACACAGAGAGGATCAAGAGTAATATGAGTGACATCCTGACACAGACTAGATAAACCAACTGAGAGATAAGACAGTGAGAGAGCTGAGTAGATCCTCTACAGAGACATCCTCATGGTTGCACCTATACCCAGCCTTTACCAGTGTTTGACTATGAGGCTCCTCCTCTGATAACTGGATATGTAACTCTTCTTCTGTGGTTTGTGGTTAAGGGTTTTCAGCTGTTGTCATCAAGGCAAAGGGTGGTTATATGAAGAATCTCAAATCTCAAATATATTTTTATTTGTTTACCACTTTGTTGGTTACTACATGATTTAATATGTGTTATTTCATAGTTTTGATGTATTCACTATTATTCTACAATTTAAAAAATAGTAAAAATAAAGGAAAACTCTTGAATGAGTAGGTGTGTCCAAACTTTAGACTTCTAGTGCATATGTATATATATGTATATATATACAGTACCAGTCAAAAGTTTGGACACACCTACTCATTCCAAGATTTTTCTTTATTTTGACTATTTTCTACATTGTAGAATAATAGTGAAGACATCAAAACTATGAAATAACACACATGAAATCATGTAGTAACCAAAAAAGTGATAAACAAATCAAAATATATTTGAGATTTGAGATTCTTCAAAGTAGCCACCCTTTGCCTTGATGACAGCTTTGCACACTCTTGGCATTCTCTCAACCAGCTTCATGAGGTCGTCACCTGGAATGCATTTCAATTAACAGGTGTGCCTTCTTAAAAGTTAATTTGTGGAATTTCTTTCCTTCTTAATGCGTTTCAGCCAATCAGTTGTGTTGTGACAAGGTAGGGGGGGTATACAGAAGATAGCCCTATTTGGTAAAAGGCCAAGTCCATATTATGGCAAGAACAGCTCAAATAAGCAAAGAGAAACAACAGTCCATCATTACTTTAAGACATGGTCAGTCAATTCGAAAAATTTCAAGAACTTTTTTCAAGAAGTTTCTTCAAGTGCAGTCGCAAAAACCATCAAGCGCTATGATGAAACTGGCTCTCATGAGGACCGCCACAGGAAAGGAAGACCCAGAGTTCCCTCTGCTGCAGAGGAGAAGTTCAGTAGAGTTACCACTCTCAGAAATTGCAGCCCAAATAAATGCTTCACAGAGTTCAAGTAGAAGACACATCTCAACATCAGCTTTCAGAGGAGACTGCGTAAATCAGGCCTTTATGGTCGAATTGCTGCAAAGAAACCCCTACTAAAGGACACCAATAAGAAGAAGAGACTTGCTTGGGCCAAGAAACAAGAGCAATGGACATTAGACCGGTGGAAATCTGTCCTTTGGTCTGATGAGTTCAAATTAGAGATTTTTGATTCCAGCTGCTGTGTCTTTGTGAGACGCAGAGTAGGTGAACGGATGATCTCCACATGTGTGGTTCCCACCGTGAAGCATGGAGGAGGTGTGAGGGTGTGCTTTGCTGGTGACACTGTCAGTGATTTATTTAAAATTCAAGGCACACTTAACCAGCATGGCTACCACAGCATTCTGCAGTGATACGCCATCCCATCTGGATTGCGCTTAGTGGGACTATCATTTGTTTTTCAACAGGGCAATGACCCAACACACCTCCAGGCTGTGTAAGGTCTATTTGACCAAGAAGGAGAGTGATGGAGTGCTGCATCAGATCACCTGGCCTCCACAATCACCCGACCTCAACCCAATTTGAGATGGTTTGGGATGAGTTGGACCGCAGAGTGAAGGAAAAGCAGCCACCAAGTGCTCAGCATATGTGGGAACTCCTTCAAGACTGTTGGAAAAGCATTCCAGGTGAAGCTGGTTGAGAGAATGCCAAGAGTGTGCAAAGCTGTCATCAAGGCAAAGGGTGGCTATTTGAAGAATCTCAAATATAAAATATATTTTGATTTGTTTAACACTTTTTTGGTTACTACATGATTCCATATGTGTTATTTCATAGTGTTGATGTCTTCACTATTATTCTACAATGTAGAAAATAGTAAAAATGAAGAAAAACCTTGGAATGAGTAGGTGTGTCCAAACTTTTGACTGGGACTGTATATATATTATATATATGTTGGTCATTTTCTCTAGTTGCACCGTGATTGGCTCATTGTTCTGTCACTCATGGGGACACTATGTCACCTCGGAATCTTCAGGGAGAGCTAGGCATTTCAAGCCCCCTTGGGTGCTACCATGCCTTCGGAAAGTATTCAGACCCCTTGACTTTTTCCACAGATTGGTACTTTACAGCTTTATTCTAAAATTTTAAAAATGATCATCCTCAGCAATCTACACATAGTGCCCCATAATGACAAAGCGAAAACAGGTTTTTAGAATTCTTTGCAAATGTATTACAAATAAAAAACTGAAATACCTTATTTACATAAGTATTCAGACCCTTTGCTATGAGACTCGAAATTGAGCTCAGGTGCATCCTGTTTCCATTGATCATCCTTGAGATGTTTCTACAACTTGATTGGAGTCCATCTGTGGTAAATTCAATTGATTGTACATGATTTGGATAGGCACACACCTGTCTATATAAGGTCCCAGAGCAAAAACCAAGCCATGTGGTCAAAGGAATTGTCCGTAGAGCTCCGAGACAGGATTGTGTCGAGGCCCAGATCTGGGGAAGGGTACCAAAACATTTATGCAGCATTGAAGGTCTCAAGAACACAGTGGCCTCCATCATTCTTAAATGGAAGAAGTTTGGAACCACCAAGACTCTTCCTAGGGCTGGCCGCCTGGCCAAACTGAGCAATCGGGGGAGAACTGCCTTGGTCATGGAGGTGACCAAGAATCCGATGGTCACTCTGACAGAGCTCTAGAGTTCCTCTGTGGAGATGGGAGAAACTTTCAGAAGGACAAACATCTCTGGAGCACTCCACCAATCAGGCCTTTATGGTAGTGGCCAGACATAAGCCACTACTCAGTAAAAGGCACATGACAACCCGCTTGGAGTTTGCCAAAAGGCACCTAAAGACTCTCAGACCATGAGAAACAAGACTCTCTGTTCTGATGAAACCAAGATTGAACTCTTTGGCCTGAATAATATAATAATAATAATATGCCATTTAGCAGACACTTTTATCCAAAGCGACTTACAGTCATGCGTGCATACATTTATTTTTTTGTGTATGGGTGGTCGCGGGGATCGAACCCACTACCTTGGCGTTACAAGCGCCGTGCTCTACCAGCTGAGCTACAGAGCATCACGTCTGGAGGAAACCTGGCACCATCCCTATGGTGAAGCATGGTGGTGGCAGCATCATGCTGTGGGGATGTTTTTCAGCGGCAGGGACTGGGAGACTAGTCAGGATCGAGTGAAAGATGAACGGAGCAAAGTACAGAGAGATCCTAGATGAAAACCTGCTCCAGAGAGCTCAGGACCTCAGACTGGGGCGAAGGTTCACCTTCCAACAGGACAACGACTTTAAGCACACAGCCAAGTCAATGCAGGAGTGGCTTCGGGACCAGTCTCTGAATGTCCTTGAGTGCCCAGCCAGAGCCCGGACTAGAACCCGATCGAACATCTCTGGAGAGACCTGAAAATAGCTGTGCAGCATCCAACCTGACAGAGCTCGAGAGGATCTGCAGAGAAGAATGGGAGCTACTCCCCAAATACAGGTGTGCCAAGCTTGTAGCGTCATACCCAAGAAGACTCAAGGCTGTAATCGCTGCCAAAGGTGCTTCAACAAAATACAGAGTAAAGGGTCTGAATACTTACGTAAATGTGATATTTCAGTGTTTTATTTTTAATAAATTAGCAAAAATGTCAAGAAAACTGTTTTTGCTTCGTCATTATGGTGTATTGTGTGTAGGTTGAGGAGGGAAAAAAACTATTGAATCAATTTTAGAAGAAGGCTGTAACCTAACAAAATGTGGAAAAAGTCAAGGGATCTGAATACTTTCCGAAGGCACTGCATTTACATTAGAAGTGCCCATCCTAGAAGGCTCAAGGTCATTGGCCACAGATAAAATGACGTCAAATCATGTTATATCTACTGTAGCTTTGATTGGATTGATCATGTCAAAATCATACTTTCAAAATCTTAGCAAGCAAGCTAGACAAGCAGTCATCATCATGAATCATGTTGACTATCTACTGACAAATCCTTTTCAATCCTTGTCATATGAAGAGAAATTATAGATAAACTGTATCGGTGCTCATTGGCCATTGGACATAAACATTACACAACAAGTCAGAAATGCAAATTCAACAATGAGTGGTTTGAAAGGAATCAGTGGCTAACTGATATGCAAAGCAATCACTCTTTTGCTTCCCCTGCCTGCTATTTGGTGCACAGGGTGTGTGGTCCAAGTCTGGATTTAAGGATTTAAAACATCTGTCTGAAAGGGTCTCTTTTCCAAGCTTAAAATGATAAACATTCACATGCAACACCATGGGCCAGAAAAGGTTGAATACATTGGCCATGCTGTCAATCCAGCATGATTTCTGACAGGTTCAAAACAAATGGGAACACAGAACTCGGAACTGTGAAATCTCAGACTTCGGTACGTTCAAGACAACTGGGAACTCAGAAAAAAACTAGATCCGACTGAGAAAATACATTTTGAACGGTCATCCAACTCGGAATTCCAATTTGGAAACTCGTTTCTCTTTCTAGAGCTCCGACTTTTCCACCTGAAGATCACTGACGTAATGATTCAACCTCATTTTTTTTTGGAGATCCCAGTTGTCTTGAAAGCATCATAAATCCAGAGAATGCCAGACTTTGAGGACAAAGTTTGATGACAAAGTTTGTCCACAAGTAAGGACTGCTGTGTCACCTTTCTGTTCAAGTGAGCACAGCACATCAACGGTGGTTCCAAAAATAGGCCAACGTCTTGTATGCTGCTGCATAAATGATGTAGTATGCCAGGGATATATTTCTACTGCAACTAAGTAAGACTAAGTGTATGTTGTGTAGTAAGCTGTTAATAGCCCATGTGTCTCACCTTACTAAGTTGGTCCCTTTTCCCCTTATAATTTAGCCTACTGTTCTGATTTGGTGGTGCACATGTAGCCTATAACCTGTTTTAGAGAAATGTCATCATTGAATATTGTAAA